AAAAGAAAAAGAAAAAGAAGAAAAAAAGAAAGAAAAAAAAAAACCCCTTTTGCATGTGATGAGACTCTATGTTCTAACTGGTCTATCCCAGAAAATATTCCATGTGCACCTGAGAAAGAGTACCTGCAGCCATGGTAAACTTGGCTAGTGGTGATGTTCACTACTCCATCTCCTTGCTGATTGTGTGTCGTTTTTCTGCTAATTACTGAAAATAAGGTACTGAAATCTCTACTTTCCTGTTCTTTTTGTTTCAGGTATTTGGGGCTGCAATGTTAGATGCATATACAATTTTTTATCTTCTACACATTAATACTATTAAATGTACCTTCATCTCTACCAATATTCTTGTCTTAAAGTTTATACTGTTATGAACATATCCACTACAACTTTTCTTCCTCCCCAGTACTGGGGATTTCACAAGACCTTTCCACTGAACATCATCTCTAGCCCCTTTTTTATTTATTTGGTACCTGGGGATCAAACTCAGGGCCTTGCACTTGCAGGGCAGGCAGTGGAACCACTGAGCTAAATCCCCGCCTTTAGCCCCTTTTTATTTTTGAGACAGGGTCCTGCTCAGTTGCTTAACTGTTCAAGCTGGGCTCAAGCATACAATCCTGCTGCCTCAGTCTCCCAGAGTGCTGGAATTTTCAGTGTGTAACACCACGTCCAGCTTGGATGTGGTAATACTGAGAAAACATACTACAGGAAGCAAAACTGGGCAGACTTAGATGAAGCAGGAACCAAGGATCCAGGAAGTCTCAGGTGTAGGGGGATAGGTTCTATTCTTGGGAGTCTGAGGCAACCGCAGTACCCTATATATGAGTCTCCACAGACAGTGTGAAATACAGATCTGGCCTTGGCAAGGTGGGAGCCTGAGACGGGGCTGGGGTTCACCTAGTGATCTCAAAGGGTTTGATTGCCAGGATTGGTACGCAGATTTAAGTATCTGAGCACTGAGGCCCGGGGAGCCACCACTTTTAAGTAGGTCAGGAAATAAAGGTGAGTAGGATCCCAGAAAGGTTCACAGAACTCGATGTCTAGACTCAGGTATCCAGCTGATACATCATGAATGCATCTCCCTCCAGAAGGCTTCTGTCACCACTATATCCACGATGCCCACAACGGTACCTGGTCCAGGGAGATGGTCACAGTGAGGTGATACCCGTATTCTGTCCAAGTCTCCCTGCAGAGAGCACCATTTTCTCCTGGAGACAGAATGTCGTCCAGGTATATGTGCAAGTTCACCTTCGAGCTACAGGATAAAAAGCCTGTGATTTCACATGTCCTCTGACAAGTTCTTCAGAGGCACAGATGGTTGTGATGCGAACTCTTGAAGACTTTCTATAACAGCTATGGACCATTTTGGATCAAAGTGAGCCTTACACAAATTATGTCAAATGAAGAAACTACCTTAATTTGTTTTGTTTTCATAATCGCTTAAAAATTAGCACACCCATTCCCACCAAATAATGTTGGCAGACTTCGAATTTTTTTTTGGGGGGGTGGTCTCACTGTATAGCTCAGTTCAGGATGGCCATGAACTCACAGCCATCCTGCCTCAGCCTCCCGAGTACCAGGATTACAGGGATGGGCCACCAGGCCTAACCAGACTGAAAATTATATATAGAAATCAAAAGAGATGTCATAGAACCAGACCTCAAGACCGAGAGCTCCAAACAGAGCCTTAGTTTGAGGCAGAATCCAGCCCAGACTTCTAGGCCCTTCAACCAGTCTCAGCCAGCCTCACATTCCTGCTCCCACAGATCTGGCCAAACAGGACTTGCTGAATTTGCAAAGTTTTTTTTTTTTGTCGGGGTGGGTACCGGGGATGGAACTCAGGACCTTGTGCTTGCAAGGCAGGCATGGTACCGCTGAGCTAAATCCCTGGCCCGCACCTCAAAGTTCTTAGCATGCAGTAGGTGCTCACTAAGTATTAACTATTTATAAACCCGAATTTCCCCTTCACATGGTAACTGTAACACATTTCCCGCTCTCCTCACGTCTTCAGGGCTTTGCTCTTCACCGAGGCACGTAAAGCTCTATGCTTCATGAGTTTTCCTTGCTTCTCAGCAGTGGACAGTTTCTTTCTGACAGGTCACCCCTGCTTACTCCACATTCCACAAGGCAAATTTGCTACATGGTGTTTATTAAATGACTTTCTATACTGAGTTATGACTTAAATCACTGCCCAGCTCTCTTCACGTCTGTGTCAGAGTTCCCCATCCTGGACTGGGATGTGCATGGCCAAGGGCTGGCCTGCTGGCTATGGTTTATGACTGACATGGTGTCACAGAGATCCAAGGAAATGCTTGTGGAGAAAGAAAGAGGACAGAAGGGAGGGTCCTGAGTATGGGCCCAGACAGGCTACTGAACCCAAGGAACCCGAGGCCTGCGCAAGGCCTGGGGTCTGTTTTCCCCTGTCCGGGGGTCCATGGGGGGCGATTCTAAGGCACAGCGGTGAAGGACATGACTGGCCTACCAAGAGTGGCCTTCTGGTCTCACGGTAGCCCCGCATCTGGAAACGGGGCAACAAGCGTTCTGTTTAGGAGAGCTTTCCCAGCACACGTGAGCAGCATTCTTGAGTGAAAGTGGAGACGAGGTCTCTCTTGGAAGTGGGTGCCTCAGGTGACACGCTCTGCTCCAAGACCGACCCTTTTAAGGTCCCTGAGAACAGCAGCCTGGGAGCAACCAAAACTTTCAAAGGCTGACAAGGCACACAGTGGATGAATGAACAGATAACAATACATGGAAAAACCTTTGGCTTATAAAACCTCCATCCTGAGGCGGGGGCAGCAGTGCCCCCCAGCATGCAGAAACAGGATGGCAGCAGAGATGGTCGTCAGTCCCCCACACCGCCCACATCCTGAGCCCTACTCTCCCACCCCCAGGCTCCCACAACACACAGGCACAGGAGCTGCAGACAGGTCAGAGGCTGGCAGTCGGAGCCAACATCAGGACAGAGTGCTGGCGCTCTGCACAAGTCACCGTGACCACCCGACAGTACAGCAAGAACGCTGGCCTAAGCTTGACTCGAAGGATCCTCTTAGAAGAAGTTAGGCTGTCCCCAAGACGGCCAGGTCCGGAAAGTCTTTCACTTCTCCCACTTCACTGAAGGGCTGTCCACCCTGGTTGAATGTCAGCTTATACCGTAACCGGATAGGTTCCTGGGACAGGAGAGACATGAGAGGTTAAATCAGAGGGGAGCAGCCCAGAGAAAAAGCATTTGCCCACTCAGGAGTCGCCAAGGATAAGCTACACGGGGTCGACAGCTGTGTGGCCTGGACTCCTGGCCTAGCCTCTTTGGGCTACAAACACAAGGAAGCCAGACATACAACCTGGCGCCGTGGACTCACTAAGGAAGTCTCCACGGTACGAGAGTCACTTCCATGGCTCCCAGCTCCAGCAATCCATCTCGAAGCTGCTTTTGATCAGCCCCAAAGAAAACGAGACTCTAGCAGGGGATGGTCCACACCCCGGCCCTCCCTGCCCAAGACTTTACAACAGAGCCTCAGACATGTTTCCCCATCAACACCGCACCCTCACTACGCTTCAGGGGTCCCCATTTCCCTGCCAGCGAAGACATCAGAACTTACTTTGTGTGGATTGTCAAGCAGCAACACCTGAGATATCACAGCTGGAGGCATCAGAGGGTTGAATGCAGGGAGCTTGGAGCTGGATGCTGGCTGCAGCTTCACGCGCATCGACTGTTGGGGGAAACCCAGTAACTCATCCCTGACAGCAACAGCTTCGGTGAAGGAGACCAGGGCGACAGGAGCTCACGGAGACAGTTCCCACTGATGGGTGAAGAGACCTAGAGGGCCTTCCGTCTATGCACACAGGAGGCCTTGAGGTGCCCGGTCAGTGGTTGGCATCTGACGAGCAGCATAAACAGCTAGTGCACATCTTGAAGCCAAGTGTGGAGGCGCACGCCCATAATCTCAGCACCACTGTGGGCTGGGGCAGGACGACTGCCTATTTTGAACCCAACCTAGCCAACTTAGCAAGAACCTGTCTCAAAATAAAAAAGGGCTGGGTACAAGCTCAGTACAAGGGCCCTGGGTTCAATCCCCAGCACTATAAATAAACAAACGAGTTAATTTTCACTCTGCCTTTTATTAGCCCTGTGACCCAGGGCAACATATTTAACTTCTGAGCCTTGGACCAATGACTCATAACAACACTACATACGCTGGGAACAGCGGCACACACCTGCAACCCAAGCACTCAGGAGGCTGAGGCAGGAGGATCACAGTAAGTTCCAGGCCAGGCTGGGCAACAATTTCCTTGGCTCTTTCCTTTTGGTACCTACCCCTTCCTTTCCCTGTGACTGAGACCCAGCCATTAATCAGTGGGTCCCTACATTCCTTGGAAAGGGATGGACATATATTCCAAATTGGCCAGATACATCACTTCCCTGGCCACAAGTTATTGATCTGAGGTAGGCAAGTAACATAAACAAGGCCAGTCAGAGCTCTTTCTTGGATAGGCAATATGTAAGCTTCACAACAGGTCAGAATTTCTTTTCAGTTTTCTAAGAGATAGAGTCTACGTTGCTCAGGTTGGTCCCAAACTATCCTCCTGCCTCAGCCTCCCCAGTAGCTAGGACAATAGGCATGTATGTACCACCACTCCGGCTTTGAGTTCTTTCCATGATTACAAGAGCTAAGGACATGGGCTGGGGATTTAGCTCAGCAGTTCTGCCACCTGCCTCATAAACGTGAGGTCCTGAGTTCAATCCCTGGTACCAAAAACTAAAAACAAAGCAAGGGCTAAGGACCATGTAACTGTGGAGCTGCTGTAGTTGTGTTCCTGCTCTGTAGAAGACTGTCAGAGAATAGCCCGAAAAAGGAAAGCAGCAACAAGAGATAGAAAGATTCTTCAGGAATTATTTACAAGCCTACAACTCAAATCTTAAGTCAGGTATTCAGGAATCCCTGGTGAAGTGAGGCAATACAATTCCCATTTTACGTTCAAACCAGTCTGAATGCAAATTCTCTTATACGTAACTGTGTCCTAACAAAAGACCTGTGCTCAAAAGTCAATTTTCAATAGTGAGAATTTCCAAGCAGCTGGCCGGCCGCCAGTGACTCACCTTTGGCACTGCCACTTGAAACATGATGTCCCACACGGGCTGGGCAGCAGTGCTCATCATAGTCAACAGCAACACCTGCACCTCCGGGTGGCCGGGTGCCCCCGTCTGGGAGAAATGGAGCAGGATTCTGAATCCATTCCGGTCATACACAATGACGGGAGGCAGGCTGCCTGGCGGAGAGGGACCCAACTGCAGGTTAGCACCGCCACAGACTTCCGCGACCGCCGCCTTGAGAGTGACGTGCAGGCTAGCTATCACCAGCGCTGCTGCTTCTGCAGCTCTTGGACCTCACCCTGCCCCAGGTCCTCACTGTCTCTCCGGAAGCTGACAACCCTCTGAACTGCCCTCTCTTCGTCACTCATGCAGCCTAAGCATGTTACCATTCATTTCCAGTACCAGAGGACCTTGCACTTGTGAGGCAGGCTAAATCCCGGCCCTATCACATTTTTTAAAAACAACCTTTCCAAAGAGACAAAATTATGATTCAAGTAACACATGAACACTACAGAAAACACAAAATGCCAAGAAATAAACACTCTTTGGATTGCCCAGAAACAAGCAGTACAAGCACGTGGGCTTATTTCTTTCAGGTCTTTTCTGTATGACTACCTACAATGACCACACCCATCCTTATATTAGTTTTATAAAATTATGAAGACAGAGTAAATCTCAAATTAATAGATTTCATGAAATTCCAATGCAAATCCTACAAAAATAGTTTTAGTTAAGAAATGATTCTAATGTTAGTGCAGGGTGGGGAGAGATATACATGAGACTAACCAACAAATTAAAAAACAGGTCAGAGGGAGGCCAGGGATTTAGCTAAGTGGTTCCACCACTTGCCTCACAAGCGCAAGGACCCAAGTTCGATCCCCGGTACCAAAAAAAAAAAGGTCAGAGATACAGTACTGTGTTTGTATTGCAAATAGAGATGAAATCCCAATTCCAGTAAAGTGGTATAGAACACAGCACGTGGAACAGGCTCAAACCCGAAAATTAACGTAAAAGAAAAACATTCACTTATGAGGCCCCAAGAGCACGGCAGCTCTGCACCTGACCAGTCTTCACAGTGATGGCTACCTCACGAAGGGGTAGGACCAATGAAGCCACTGTCCTCCACTTGTTTGCCTGTGCACAGTCCCTCCTCTTCTTAGTCCTCTTTCTTTTCTGCCTTTTAAACAAGGGAACACTCAAATCTTCCAAGGGAATTATACTTTGAGTTATGTTTCACTATATCATTTTCATATTGTAAATTACTTTCTAAGAGAGATTTACTGCTACCCCAGGATGTGTGGACTTGGCACCCTTGTGCATTTGGAAACCAATAAACCATTACTGGAAATACAAAAAGAAAAAAAAATTCAAAAGTCAGCGGGTAAGTCAATAAATGGCACCCAAATGACTAACCATCTGGGGAAATGTTTTTATGTTTTTGGTTTGTTTTTTTTTTTGAGACGGCGTCTCACTATTAGTTGAGACTGACCTGGCACTCACTCTGTAGACCAGGCTGGTCTCAAACTCACAGCGATCCTCCTGCCTCAGCCTCCCGAGTGCTGGGATTACAGGCGTGCACCATCATGCCCAGCTTGGGGAAATGTTTTTCTGAGTGTGATTATTTTTTATTACAGTACTGGATTATACTGTAATGTCTACATCTATGGCTTAATACAAAAGAAATGTGTTGCATTTATATCAATGACATATTTACCCTGGTGGAATAAAAGAGACATAGAGGACCATGTACATGTTTAAAAAAATGACTGTGTTCCACCTGGTCTTACTTTTGCTATTTTGGACCATACTTTTCCTACTAGAGAATTACTCTTACATACAGTTTAAGCCTGATTTCTCTCCCCTCACTTTTAAACATTAAATGGAGCATCTCACAAGTATTAATTATAACAAACAATGTGGGAAACAAGATGTGAAAACAAAGAGCAGACAGCCAGGGATTTTGCTCAGTGGTTCTGCTGCCTGCCTTATAAGCGCAAGGTCCCCAGTTTGATCCCTGGACCAAAAAAAAAAAAAAAAAAGAGCAGACAGCTATTTTCTTACAGTGGAAAAACTGAATAAACCATGCCCACTCCGTGGAAGAGAAACTTTCACTCAGAGACAGCACTTAGACCTAGGAGTCCCTTTTAAGGGTTTAAATTAAGATCCTTACCTCATGCCAAACATCAATTATCAAAACACATATTACAAAAAATATAGTTTTATGTGACTGTCAAGATTTGGAAAGACTGAAAATACCACCGAGGTTTGAATGGTAGTTGAGAGTACAGGGTAAAAGGCAACCTGTTGGAAGGGAACTGCTAATGCAGATCAAGATTTTAAATTGGCTACACCCAGCATTTCACTCCTTTTAAAGGAGTAGGCTAGTTATTCGGAGAGTATAGGGAAAGGGCATCGGCAGGCCTTGTGACTCACACCAGCAATCCCAGCTACTTGGGAGGCTGAAGCAGGAAGATCACACTAAACATACAGTTCTGCTTTTAACAGTTACTGACTTTGCCTTCTAATTATTTCAGACTTACCAAATGTTACAAAATTAATAAGTGAATGGCCACATACTTCACCCAGCTTCTCTGAGTGTCACATCTTATGTAGCTGGTATTAATTATTGAAACCAAGAAATGAACAAGTATGCATTATTTTAAACCAAAAATTAATGGAGCAGATGCGCAAATGGCATCCCCTGCTCCCCAAACCGTGTTGAGTTCCCCTTCGCAGTGCTCAGCCCTCTGCACTGCACCCTCCCCCAGGGGACTCTGTACATGGAAGAGCACAGCCCTGGAGCCCAGGACATGGCTTGCTGCCTGCTCCAGAACTGCTATGTTGACCACAGGTTTCACCTTCACTGGCTGGGTCCTTTGGTTTCCTTTCCTTGGTAACAGAGGTGACACCCATTTCTCTTACTTAACAAGATCCCTAGAGAGAGGATCGCCAGCCAAATTCTTCCCTTTAAACTCCACCTCCTCGCCGTCATTTCAGGCCACATTAAACACCCCTCCCTGAACTGCACACAAATAAACAAGTCCCACAGGAGACCCTGGCTCCCTCATTAAGCCCTACCTGCCAATATCCTTCATGGTGACAATCCTATGACAGACCAGACTTTAGGAAGAAAAAAAAAAGCTAGAAAACAGAGTGGCTCCCTCTTACCTTCTGTTCTAAATCCACCACTTACCTTCCCAAAGTTAAGAGCTACACTACTACCAATCTGGAATGGGAAAAGCCAGGAGGCTAACAAAAGGGGAAGAAAAGGGTACAGCTTTACTTACTGGGCTTCACAGACTCCAAAGGAACAAACACTTGAGCCAGAGGTGTATTCTGGGAGGCCGGGGAAGAAGCCAATGGGCTGGCTTCCCAAGACCACCCCGGGGATGACTTAGTGCCTGGTGGCACTTCCTTGGGGATACTTTTCTGTGGAACATAATTCCTACAAAGAAACAAGAAAATATCGAAGACTACGAAGAATCGTAGAGAATTCCAAGAATCTTTGCTTAGTCTTCCTAAAGAACAAGATGATGAAGGAAAAATCCACACACATGATATCCAATCAGAGGGAAATGACTATATCCACACAACCAACTATAATGTAGCTATTAAAGAAAGTGAGGCAGATTTATAGAAACAAATAGGAAAATGTGCCAAAGGTATGTGACATGAATAAAGTCTCAGTACAGTGTATAAATCGAGAGGCTATTTGCATAAAAATAAGCCACAATGCATTACTACCATGTATAAAAAAAAAAATTCAACATTGTTTTTAGAGAGTGGTATTTAGGATCCCTATTACAGATTTCTGTAGGGATGGAGTTTTGCTTATTTCAAATTACATGGAAATTGAGGAAAATAAGCAGAAAATCTCTACCATTATCTACGTCTTTCTGCTAGTCTTTCAAAACCCCCATGGAGGATGTCCGAGCCAAAGCACCCATTTCTCTATAATCTATGATGGAAAGTAAGTGGAGAAGGGGCTGGAGATGTGGCTCGGAGTGCTGCACCTGCCTGGCAAGCCCAAAGTCCTGAGTTCAACCCCCAATACCAAAAAAATAAAAGAAAACCAAGTGGGGGAGGTGGCAGCACACCACACTTCCACCAGCAGGGGGTGTCCCACTAGTGAAAAGGAGAGGTCTACCACTGTCTCAGGTGCCACTCCTGCCCGAAAGACTCACAGAGGACCCGGAGAAGGCTGTGGGGACAGGAAATCCAGTAAGTTCCTATCTGCAGAAGGGCTGGGAATACCACCTCCGGGTAGGGTGCTGCTGGTAGGATTCTTCTTTTCCTTACAGCAACTCTGGGCAGCAACCTGTCAGACCAGGAATGGCTAACATAAGGCTGGCATCTGCACGACAGTGGTACAGCTCCCAACTCTGGGAGGAGAAATACAGAGCAGGAGAGCACAAGACTCCTGAGCAGACCTTCAGGAAGCAGAAGCTCGGTACAAGGGAAAAAGGATGTCACTAGGAGCCCCAAGCCCACAGCGAGGAGGACAGTACAGTAGCCCCTCTCCCCAGGCAGCCCTGAGGTCCGCGAGGCCCTCTGCCCCTATGACTCCCAGGGAGCGCTTTCCTACCTTGCTCATGACGGGAGCATCACTGATCCCTAAGAAAGAACAGAGGTGCGCAACGGTAACTCCACTGACAAGAGAGATCAGTGGAACATCCGCCCTTTCTGGGAAGGACACTCACAAAGGCAGGAACAAGAAGGAAGCTAGCAAATGCACCCATGGCAGATCTGGGACTAAGACACAAAGGGATTTCTCTGAACTGCCCAGAAGCCCTGGCTCCCCAGAAGCAGGCCTCTGCTCCTAGAGAGAAACTCGCCTCCCTTTCTCCCTGCTCAGGACACCACTCACCCAAGGCTGCCAGGTCCTGGTGAAGCAAAGACGGTGCCACAGGCCCAGCCTGATCAGGGCCACTGTCCACCTGCAGATCAATCAGGGGGCAGCTCTTCACGCAGCCTGCTGGATTCTGAAAGACTAGAAAACACACAGGCTAGGAGGGCGCAGCGCTGAGACACGAGAGCAGTCTCCACGTCTATCAACATCCCCAGGCCTCTTCCTAATCAAAAGACATGTAACATCACTTTCCCGCACTCCACACAGCTCCAGAACATACCACTTCCACTTAGTGGAAACAGCCTGCGCCTGCACGTGACAGAGAGCCAGGCAGAGGCGGCCTTCCCACCCCAGATAAATTCTCCATAGGTGCTATCAACCTGGGAGGCAGCAGAGACTCCTCCAGCTCAGAGTCCTTGAAAGTATCTGACCACACCCAATCAGAAGCACCTACAGTGCTTGATAAACACAGACAACCTGGCCTAATGCCTAGCAGTCTTGATTCAGCAGGTCAATAATGAAGACTAAGGGATCTTCTTTTTTTTTGGTACCAGGGATCGAACTCAGGCCCTTGTGCTTGTGAGTCAGGAGGCAGAAGAACCACTGAGCTAAATCCCCAGCCCATCAGGGGATCTATTTTAACCAACGATCCTGATACAGCTGGCCTGGGTCCACCAGGACACCGAGGAAGACCCTTTCTTTGCTGTCTAGCTCCTGGATGTGCACCTGCACAAAAAGGACTCAACCCCAGGCATGAGACAGCCGTCTGCCTCTACCGTGGCCAAAGCCAAGGTCCAGCCTGGCTGCTGGTGTGTGCTGGCTTCTGGGACAGTGGCTGCCCAGCACTTGTTTACACTCCAAGGGGTCGGGGCCAAGTTCTCTCATTTCTACACCACAACCCTGAATACTTTGTGGGTCTATTCCTTTTCTGGGGTATGACAGGCCGCTGCAGGGCAGAAGGCACCGACAGCTGTTCGCACATACCTCTGGAGACAGGTATGTCCCCCACCGAGCTGGTCACTGTGCTCCCAAAGGTGACTCGACCTTCCATCACCTGTTTGTACAGCAGAACTCCCTGAGTGAGGAGGTCGTTTGCCTGGAGAATTTCCGCTGAAGAAAGAGAAAAATTCAGAACCCCTACTTTAGTTACCTCAAGCTGTCTTTTCTTTCTTTTCTTTTTTTTTTTGGTACCAGGAATTGAACTCGGGACCTCACGCTTGCAAGGCAGGCAGCAGAACCACTGAGCTAAATCCCCCAGCCCCATGCTCAGCCTTTTCTAAGCCATTTTTGTTTGTTTTTTTGAAACAGGGTCTCACTATGTAGTTGAGACTGACCTGGAACTCACTATGTTCAACCCAGGCTGGTCTCGAACTCACAGCGATCCTCCTGCCTCAGCCTCCTGAATGCTGGGATTAGAGGCAAAGCCACCACACCCACCTTCTAAGCCATTTTTAAAAAGCAGCACTCTCCCAGCATTTAGGAGGCTGAGGCAGGAAGATGGCTGTGAGTTCAAGGCCAGTCTGGGCTACTTAATGAGAACCTGTCAAGAAAGAAAAAGAAAAAGAAAAAAAGTCTTCACGCAGTTGACTAGGCTCAGCATATCCTTCCTCCTGTCCCCAGGCCCCTATCAGAATGGGTCACTCAACCTTGAGCCCTAAACCTCTTAGTTCCCAGTGTAGGAAGAAACAACTTTTTTTTTTAGCACGTCTGCACTGTCCACATGACAGGAAACAGTAAGCACTTGAATGTGGCTCTTTCAATGAGGAACTGACACTTTCAACTTTAAGGCTAACATCTCAAGCTGTGCTGCCAATCTGAGGACGTATATTGGAAGAGTTTTCCAGTACTTGATTTGTTGCTTAGAGAGCTTTTAAGTATTTAGAGAACACAATGGTATGAGTCAGCATTTTTTTCTTTCCTTTTTTGGTATACCAGAAATCAGATTCGGGGCTTCAAGCTTGCTGAGCTACATCTCCAGGCCTGAGCCAGCATTTTAACCTAAATGCAGGTCCAGTATTTCCCATGAAAATTTGGCATCCAAATGGAAACACGAGGCAAGTATAAAATACACATAGGATTCCAGAACTGCACAAGCATCCCGTAGCCTGATTTATATGCAAATGAATCCCTCCTAGGAGACAGAAGAGCAATAGGACTGGAGGGACGTGTGGCACCACAGTCCAGAGTGCTGGGAGATGGCCTCTGAGAGGAGGAAAGCCTGTTTCCTGCCCTGCCTGCAGGGCCATGAGTGGACACTGCAAAGTGCCAACACGGGGCTGAATCGCACAGCAAGTGTTTCTCCCTGGCATGTTCCAACCAGCTGCTTACAAACTTAGATTTGATTGCCTCTGACCTCACTGGAATCACTGAGAAAATAGGGGTTAGATGATAAATGTAGATACCCAATACCATGACCTCTATGACAAACCCCCCTAACCAATGGACACTGGGAACTGAGCCCAAGGCCTTCACACCAAGCTTCATCCCTGGCCCTTTTATTTTTTTAATTTTGAGTCAGGGACTCACTGAGTCACCAAGTTGCCCAGGAGGAGCTCGAATCTGGGATCCTCCTGCCTCAGCCTCCCTGCAGTACTGGGATTAAAGGAATGAGCCATTTTGCCTAGCAAAATTCTTGCTAATCCTAAACAGATCTAGCCCCTGATCTAACTGGCAACTTTCAGAACTATCAGGAACAGAAAGACATTAACATCACCAAAGGGGGGTGCAACCAGCAACTTCAGAGAACTTTACACATCAAGGGACCTATCTTCCAGGGAAGAAAGAAAAACAAACAAACAAACAGGGTGAAGGGGCACTGGTCTAGGGTCTCTGTGGAACTGGTCCACACCTGTTCTTCATGGTTAAGTTCCTACCCCTCTCTAGGCTTCAACATCTGATTTCTTGCTCCAGCCAAGGTTCTTCTGGAACTCAGAAGCCAGTTCCAAAGCAGCTCAGACCACCCCGTTTCCCGCCCTACCCCCACGGAACTGAAAGCCATCGTGCCCTTTCCCAGCACAGGCAGGCCCACACCACCCCACCCTGGGGGTGCCCGCCACACCCAGGGACAGCACTGTTACCCAGCGCATCGTCGTCGTCAGTGGTGCCACTCGCCAGCCGGAACAGGGTGGGCCGCAGCTTCTCACACCTCTCATACACGACCTGGGGAGAAGAGCCTGGTTCACACACACATCGTGCCCCGCCCCAGCCTTCAAGCATGAAGCAGAGGCCTCCTCGGGCTCCCGGGTTCATGCCTCCAGTCAGAAGCAACACGGCACTAGGTTTCAGGAGAAGTTTGGGCTGTAAGTGTGTAATTCTCTTTTCAGTACTGAGGTTCAAACTCAGGGCCTTGCGTATGCTAGGCGAGCACTCTACCACTGGCCACATTCCTAGGCCTTCTTGAGAGAAGATCTCTCTAAACTGCCCAGCTTGGCCTCGAACTTGTGATTCTCCGACCTCACCCTCCTGGGTAGCTGGTATTACAAGGGCGTAACCACCATGTCCGGCAGGATATGATTTTTTTTTATATATAAAAGTCTAAAAAACTATCAAAAGACCTTAGCTCAGAAAATAACCTGTTGTCTCTGTGTACACAGCATCATCTCTTCAGGCCCTGGGCATTTGTATCACTGAAAGCTCTAAAAGGTTTGCCATAACTCTGCTACTACTTCAATAAGGGCATTAACTGATCTCAGGGTATATAAGAACTGAAGGCACTGGAACTGTTATGCATTGCTGTTAGGAAGGCAAAATGACACAAGCACTTAGGAAAGTCTGGCAGTTTCTTAAGAGTTAACGACATACTTAGCATATGATCTAGCAATCCCACACTCCGGCACTTACCCAGGAGAAATGAAGATACATATTCACACAAACTCCGATACACAACTGTTTAAGCAACTTAATCTATAATCACCCAAAGCTGGAAACACCCCAAGTATTAACAGACCCGTGCCACACACTATTGCTCACGTAAAAACACGCTCTGACACACAGGACAATGTGAAGAGATCAACCAATCGTGCCAAGAGAGACAATTGGAGACATGCACTCCAGCACCCCGTTCTACAAAACAGAGAGCAAATCAGCGGCTGCTCAGGCAAGGGCAGGACGGACGACAAAAGGACATGGGTTAACTGGGGATGGCTTCCTGCATACACGCAGGTCAACATCGATACGCAGCCATGCACAGGAGCGGCACGCAGTCACCCCTGGGAGGTCACCTGCAAGGCCTCCTGGTCCGGCGGGGCCTGCCCCGGCCTGCGGTACATGTTCAGCATCTCCTGCAGCACCTTCACATGGCTCCGCACCTCTTCCACCGCGCTCACTCTCCTGGACACCTTCTCTGATTTCTCCTGTTCCTTGGACAGAAAAAGGATGCAAGTGAGAGAGCAGCAGCTCTAGATGAGGCTGAACGAGGCCTAGCGAAGGGCAGTGCGCTGTAGGAAGCTCAGGGAAGTTACAAGAACACTAAGTCAATGAGGGTACCTGCTTGGAGGACAAAGAAAACACTCAAAAGTCCCAAATTCCTGGGGGCGACAACGCAGTATCAGGGCCTGGCGACCTACTGCTTTGTACCCTACCGGCCTCCACCCTTCTGGAAAAGCGAACTCCAGACGCGGTCTGTGTCCACACCAGCATCTCCCACTGGGACAGAAGCTGGTGTCTAGAAAATGCTTGGAGTGCTGCTGGCAAAAGGAGCTGGGAAACCAAGCCTGGCGGCACACACCTGAATCCTAGCTCTCTGGGAGCCTGTGGCAGGAGGATCGAAAGGTGAAGTCAGCTGGGCAATGTAGCAAGAGTGTCTCAAAATTAAAAAGGCTGCAGATATAGCTCATTATAAAGGCCCTAAGTTCAATCCTCAGAATGGAAAAAAAAAAAGGGAGCTGGGAGCTGGGTATGGTGGCACACACCTGTAACCCCAACTCTGGGGAGGCCAAGGCCAGCCTGCGCTACATAGCAAGGCCAAATCTCAAAACAATAATGACAAAAAGGGAGCCGGAGCCAAGCATGGTGGCACACGCCTGTAGTCCCAGCACTTGGGAGGCTGAGACAAGAGGATCACCACAAGTTTGAGGCCAGCCTGAGTGACAAAGCGAGATGCTGCCTCAGACAAAACAAGCAGCAGCCGGGAAACACAAGAGCATGCTCGCTTCTTCTAGACAGACCCCTGCATCCCTTCAGGAGCTCTCAGTCCCTCTCTGGCCCAGGGCAAGGTCACACCTCCAGCCACCCATCCCCCTGCATCCTCAAGCGCACACACGCTGTCCATCCATCCTGTCAGGTGCTGGTCCTGCACACCCAACTGGAAAAGGCCCACCTACCTCCTTGACCAAGCTCTTGATCAGCCGGTTGGCAGCCTGAAGATCCTCAGGGTGGCTGCTCTTCAGAAGTCTTGTCAGAAGCTGAATAAGAAGAGAGGGTGAGGCTGTAACCGCCCAGCCAGAGCAGGGGCAGCAGCACCGGCAGCACGAACACCAGCAGCAGCACGCGTTCCGTGCAATCTTCCTGCACCACCACAGTGATGTGGTCTGTGACACAGGGATGACGACGACCCCCAGATCCTAGTTTTCATGGATCAGGGAATGGGAAAACTATGCTCCCAAGGAGACATATGACAAAGTCTGGAGTCACTCCTGGCTGTCAGAACTGATAAGGAGGTGCTGCTCGCATCCCATGGGGAGAGGCCAAGGAGACAGGACATCCTTCAGCCCATGCAGGAGTCTGAGCGTGTCTCCACCACATGCTCTCCAATGGAGCTGACCTTGGCCACCTACTTATCCCTTTACTCCAAGCCTGGCAGGACGCCTGGCAAACAGGGGCCCCTGGGCCTTAGCCGGACGGATGGAAGGAAGGATGGGAAACTGGAACCGCAGTGACACAGATGGCTACTGTCCTCAGAAGTCATGCCACATAGTCCCTGGCCCCTCAGCCCCCGCCACCCACAGGCACTACCGAGCGATCCCCAACTTGGGCTCGGATTTGACAACTTTCCTCATCCCTCCCCTTTTTTACTGATGTCTGAGACTGATGATTCTGAAAAGACAATGGCGGCACCAGGCTTACTGGCACTAAAAATAATCTTCATGAACATGCCACCCTTTCCTGTCCACCACACCCACCCAATACCACACATGATCAATGACCGACAACCCACTGTCCCCCTGGTTGCCCTCCCTGGGGAGCACAGGTACAGATACCAGGATGGTTCAAAGCCTAACATCTACTGTCTGGCCCATCCGCGAATAAAGCCAGGACTTCTGCTACCCAAGGCCAGTTCCAGAAAAGAAATCTCACTACCCTACCCCCCATGTCCTCCCTTCTTCTGGTTCAGAGATCAGGGGACATTTCTGGGACCATCCCCAAGAAAGTGGGTCTGATCAGACTGAGGCCCGGGAGCGGGGCTCCTTACCTTTGACTTCTCTTCGTCTGCATCAAAGATGGAGCTCTTGGGCCAGGGAGAAGGTGGGGGTAAGATTTTATCCACTGGTAGTTTAGGGTCTTGTTTTATGATTCCTAAAATATGCAATTCACGAAGTTAGGATACAGGTATGGACACCTGGTGATTTAGCAGGATCCAGTATAAAGTCCAGAAACCTTTGGTTCCTGAGAGCCCACAAAAAACATATCAACAGCTTTAAAGTGATATATCCAGGGTGAGATGGAAGTTCTGTATTATCTTTGAGGAGAATTAAAAAAAAAAACACCATAAAGTCACAGGCACCACAGCAGAACCAGTCCCAAGGACTACACTCTGCGGACTCTGCTGTAAAAATGACGGTCAATTTTTGCAGCCACATAGCCTCCCAGGGCCCAGAAACTACAGCAGGCTCCCCGATGAAGCTTCCCAAAATGCTAAGAGAGTGCATAAGATAAGGAAAAACAGTCTATCTTAAAAGCAGTTCCTTCTCAAAATGAGCCCAGCCTGAAAGGAATTCAGACTCCAGCTTCTCAGACAGGAGCACAAAGATGAAAGATTGCCCTAACCACAGTAAAAAACACCACACAACCTGCGATTTAACAACTTCTCTTGACTCCAGGAGAGAGCTGAGATCGCAGGGCAACCACCAATTAGTCTGAAATTGAGGAAGAGGCCTCCAATGAACAGTGGGAAGTAACACTAGCAAGTACTAGTAACACTAGCAAGAACAACTCAGGCCGGGCACAGTGGTGCACCCCTGTAATCCCAGCACTCAAGAGGCTGAGGCAGAAGGATCGCCATGAGTTCAAGGCCAACCTACACTATACAAAGTAAGACCCTCCCTGGTTCTAAAAACAAAACCAAACCAAAAAAACTCAGCTAAAATTGTTTAAAAATTGCTTGCAGGACAGCGTGAGCTACCAAGAGAATACAGGACTTTCAGCAGGAAATGAGCCCTTCTCTGAGGAGCTGTTCTCTGCCCCCAGAGACAGGTCTAGACTGCCGGGGGAAGGGTGATGAACTGTCCATCCCCCATGCACTGGTGGGACCCACCACTGCTGGGGGTAGAACAGGGTAAAAGAGGAGTGCACCCTGGGACAGGAGCAGGACCATGTCCTTGGAGTGGGGCCTGATCCCAGAAATCACAATAGGTGCACAGACTCAGTCATTCTCCTGCGTAGCACGTAGGCGCCACCTGCTGGCAGGAGCAGCAACAGCATGGAGAAAGACCCTCCCCCAAGACACTGAGCAAAGGGTCAGGGAGCAGATGCCAAGCAAAGCCCCAGCCTAACTCAGAGGAATCTGAGGTCAGGCAGAGAGATGGCAGCTAGAACAGCAAAGCTCAAACTCAGGTGGGCTACTGCCCACTGGGAGGAAAGGTCACCTACTTGTTGCAGGGACGAAGACCCTCGCCTGTCCCACACGAGATGCACATCTTTCAACAGATCACAAAGCATTAAAAAAAGGAAGAACACCCAGGGTCAAGAGGGAACCCAGCGCTAGCGACGGCCGTCAAACCTTGTTTCTTCAGCATCTGGTAAGCATCGCGGATCTTGATGTCTTCCGGAAACCAGACGGTCCAACTAAAGAGTATTTCAATGACTCTTCCTTTCACTTTCTCCGTGGCCCAGGCCCCTAGGTACTGAAAGTCAAAAGGAGAGCAAATTACCAAGAAGAGACTTAGGAGACCTCTTAGTCAACACTCCCACTAAAGAGCAGCTGCTGAGGCCCAGAGAAACGGGCAGCCCAATGTGGGTACAGAGTGAGACACAGAGGCCAGTGTATCTGGCGCTCGCCCTGCGAGTGCTAAGTTAAAGTGCACCATGTACAGGCCTAGGCCTTGGAAGAGTCTTTTTTTTTTTTGACTGATGCAAGTATAGAACAACAAAATCTGATCTTTATCCACTTCCTGGACAGAGCTTCAAACACCCACAGAATTGCCAGGCATACTGGTGCACAACTGTAATCCTAGCAAGGAGGCTGAGGCAGGAAGATCACCAGAAGTTCAGGGCCACCCTGGGTTACATAGTGAATTCAAAGACAGCCTGAATACAAAGCGAGACTTTGTCTCAAAAACAAACAAACAAACAAACAAAAAAACAGAATTTCCTGAGTGATAAAGGTGTCCTGTGATTCATAAGGAAGCCCTCTGGACCACACTTGAGTTTATAGCAATGACTCGTGGTGAATAATTTGGGAGTCTCAAAGGAGTGGACTGGACACCACAGAAAAAGCAACCACACAAAGAGCTGAAACCTCAGCCCCATCCCCTGACCCAGAAGTAAGGGAATGAGGAGAAATGTGAACTGGAGACTGAGTTCTTGACTGTGGCCGGTGAATGACACAGTCCCAGCAGGAACTGGGACGAGGGCTGCCTGGCTGGCCAATGCCCCAAGTGCTAGGAGAATAACGAGACCCAAAGAGGGACACAACTTCCTGCCCACAGTCAGCTCTGCTCGTGTCTCGCTTATGTGGAAAAGATGACAGTAAATAAATACAGCACCCTCCGGGGTTCTGTGTTGTCCTAGTAAATTATGGAACCTGGGGAGGAGCAGTGGAAACCCCCAAGCTGGCAGCCAGCAAGGCAGAGGCACGACAGACTGAGGACAGAGACTCACAGCTGGCATCGGAGATGGAGGTGCCCTAGTAGGACAAAGCCCTTAGCGCTAGGGAGTGAGGAATGTGTCAGAATCCAGATGAACTGCAGGATACGCGGGAGACATCAGAGAACTTGCTGGTTTGAAAAGGGTTCCGTCAGCACTGAGTACATGAGCGTGCACAAGTAAGACTTCCTAGGAGCACAGGTGCCAACGAGCAGGCAGGAGCAATGTGAAACTTAAGAGTCAGTCACTCCTAGTCACTGCTCAGAACCTCACTGGGAGACCCATGGCCCTGAGCCCTCTAGAGCTCCTCACCTTCCCTAGGCTGTACCCCAAAGGAGGACAAGCCCCTTTCAAAGGGAGAAGTGGAGGGGCGGAGGCTGATGAGCACAGGCACCGCCCAGACTCGGGAGGAGCTGGGTCTCACACGCATGGCCTCTCAGGAAATGGAGGCAGGTGGGCTCTTCACATGGGGGCCTTCGCAGGCCCACAGAGACTGCCAGTCAGGGAGAGTGCCACACAGAAGGTGGGGCCAAGCCTGGGAACTCACTTTTGGAGACAACACCTTGATCAGCTCATTCAGGAAGCGAAACTTGGCCACCTCACCGTGAAACTTCTCTCCGCAGTGGTTCATGCACGTCTCCAGCACCTGCATAGACACAAGGCCTTGTGAGGAAGGGAGCCGTGGTGTACTAGGCTAACCTCCCCCAAGCCCACAAGGACCCTGACACTTTGGAGAAGAGATGTTTCCAGACAAAGAAAAAAAGTCACTTGTCCACCAGGCCCATGTCTGTGTCCAGGGAGAAGCTGAGTGGGGTTTGTGTTCACCCGGGGGTCACTCCACCAGTCTAGGGGACCCAGACCCCTTGGACAGGTAAGACAGGTCCGAGGATCACAGCCTCCCCAGAGGAAGAAATGTGTGACACGCCCAAGAACTGTGCCAATAGAGGTCACTCACCGCCACCCAACAAACAGGTGCATTTCGGTCACCTCTGGACACTGGTCATTTCAACATGTCAAATGAGTTAACAGCTTTTCGTTTGTTTGTTTAAGATCATAATTGGCTTTTCTTTCAATTCTAGAATTGGGTTACCCTTCATTTCATAACAGTAAGGGTTCCAATCAACATTCAAATATTCAGAGAATTCATGCAAAAATCTGCATTTCTGTGTCTTCTTGAGAAAAACAAAAGTTCTAACAACACTGGGCCCAAACTCAGGCCTGTGCTGCTGAGCCGGTGCCCTCCCTGCTCTGAGGAGCAAATGGAAGCAAAGCCTGCCTTCCTGTCTCCCACCACGGGCTCAGGGCTGCACTGAGAAACTCATCTGCCTTGGGCAGCCTGGCCCAGACTCCTTCCGCCCGCTGTCCCGGGCCGTGAGGGTGACCCTCTCAGATGCCCGCGGAAAAGGCCTTGGGCACCGGCAAGAGTCCCCATGCTCTTTCTCACACCAGGTCAGGACGGCTCAGCAGAACAGCACATCAGACTCACCGTCAAGGCATAAAGAGCTTCTTTCTCTTGTGGAGACTGGATCTTGTGGGCCAGCAGCCAGGGTGCATGTGTTGGGCTATGGGAAAAGAGAAAGACCCGGACGCTGGGTGGGCAGGAACGAGCTAACCGTCCTGGGTAGGTACACAGGGCAAAGCCACCTGCCTTCCCGGAGCCGGAGCCCAAAGCAGAGCTGAGCTCACTGCACACAACCTGGCGAGGGACTCTGCCGGGGCCGACTCTACCCACCCACTGTGCCTGCAGCACCCAAGGGCCTCTTCCACCTGGGACCCACCACACCGCCCACAGCCAACTCCCCTAGAGCAGCGGGCAGGGCTCAGCACCCTGCCAACTGGGTCTGAGCAGATGCCTGGTGCTAACTGCTCAGTAAAACGGAGGACGACGTGTGCACTACACCCACATCCGAGCAGCTCAGTATCTGGCACCACATGGGCCAAACACATGTGTGAATGATCTGAGAACTCGGTTCCTGTCCAGGGGCTGTGGCAACAGAATTCAATAAAATCCCAATCCTAGTCAGATATGGCGGCACACACCTGTGATCCCAGCACTCAGGAGGCTGAGGCAGGAGGATTGCTAAGAGTTTGAGGCCAGTCTGGGCTACAGAGTGAGTTCAAGGCCAGGCTGACATAACCCTGTCTCAATAAAAGAAAGGCTGATTGATTGCAGAGGGGAAAGAAATAAAGAACACAAAAAATAAAAAACCCTAAAGGCCCATGCTCATCCTGTATGCCCTGGTGTGAGTGTGAGGGAAGCCGCCTTACCCATTGGGGTCAGTGTTCAGCTGCTCACAGAAGTTCTGGACAGCTAACCAATCCTGATCTGCCACGCTTGGGTCTGTGGCTTTGTCTGTCAACAAAGCAAATAATAAAGTCAAAGAAAACACGATGAGCAGAAAGCTATAAGCTAGGCCTGGCGGCTCCTATCTGTGGTCCCAGCACTCAGGAGGCTGAGGCAGGGTGCTACAAGCTCAACCTGTTCCTGCCACCTGAACCTCCTGTGGTGCATGCAGCTTGCACCACCAGTGATACAAACGGATCCAATCATTTTTACTGTTTACCAATGAAATTAATAAACAGCTGCCCGATGGGACAGTCACCGGTGGACCACCGTGGTTCACGCTAGATGTCATTATCACGGCTCCAGCACGAACGTGTCAAGGCCACCCTAGGTTACCCAGTGAGACCCTGTCTCAGAAGAAGAGGGGAAGACAGGAAGAGAGACAGAAAAGGAAAACTTACATTCTGGAGCTGAAGGTCATGATGCCATGCATTCAGATCAGATCTGCAGACAGCTACCCGATGTCAGAGGACGGGACCAAGCCTACCCTGTGCTGTGCACACTGTTAAGTGTCTACCACGTCTAGCACAGAGCACACTCACTGAACACAGTGGTGCCTCAGTTTACAAACTTAACTGTTTTACAATTTGGGAGAAGACGGACGGAAGCATTACTATATTCATTGAGTGAGAAAATTAACAAATTGCCCTGAAAATGGCTCTATTTTCAGGGCAGGGACTGGCCACAAGTGCCTCCTGCATGTCGGGTGCCAGCAGCTCTTTCTGGATCTGGAACTAAGCAGTTAACTCCCAGGGTGGTATTTCCGACAGTGTTTTCCTCTTGCCCAATGGCCACTCCGCTCATTTCAGAAGCCTATCCATTCTTAAAGACAGCTGAGTTTCCACAGCTCCCTAAAGCCTCCCTGCCACTGCTCCAGCCCTGACTGCTCCCTCTGATTTTTCAGGCTCCCATCATCAGCTTAGGGTGGAACTGTTCACATCCATCTCAAGTGGAAGGGCCAAGCCCCAACCGTAGGTTTAGAGGACACGCCCAGACTACCTGCTCCATTCCAAATGCAGACGCCGCGAGGAAGGGGGGCAAAGGAATCACGTCATCAGTCCCCTCACCCTCCACAGCTCTATCCCTGTGTTCCATCTCTCAAAATCCTATTCACTCGTCAGGTCCCAAGTGGAGCAACACTCCGTCACGAAGATGTCTCGATCTTTTTCTCTCTCACCCCCACAAAAGGGAAGTTATCTCGTCCTCCTCAGAACTCTGGAGTTTTCTTTCCCCGCCCTTTCTATGAGCTGGGGCTCTCCAACCTCTGCCCTTCATTAGCCACCTTGACCTCAGACACTCTGAGCCTCTGCTTCAACTATAGAGGAAGGAAAATATCTTCCTCATGGGCCCATGCCATGATTTAAAGTAGATGGTGTTGCAAGTGTTCAACACAACAGCTCATGGAATTATTTTAACAGAGTCCTTGCCTTTTCTTGTAAAAATATGTACATCTGCCTCACTGTATCTAAAGGGAACAAAACCCAGAAGCCATATATTCCCTACAGGGCTGAACAAATGCTTCAGCCACAGGTGCAGATGCAGGACGAGGGGAATCTATGCTACATGACAAGCGACCCTAGCCCTGAAATTCTAAGGGGAAGTACTGTAAATCAGAAATGTCTGTAGATATCCAAAGAAAACGTTTAGAGCAGAGATTCTCAGAGTGTGCGTCTCAATCACCTGAAAGTCATTACACCACTTAAGCTTCAGTTTCTGTTCCTACAAGGTCAAGGCTGACAGCACAAAAGAATTCTGACCTCACCATGCACAGGGACCTAACAGGCAGAGCAAACAGCGAGCTGGAGCCAAGCCTGAGAATCCAGACATCTCCCTCCTCCCCTGCTGCCCAGGGGAGAAGATAGGTCACCTACCAAGGCACAGCAGCAAAAAGACCTATGAACTCTAAGACAGACAGTTTCCGTTTTTGTTTGCTGCGTCTTGTTATGAGGATTCACTCAAGGTTTGTCATGGCCCAAAGATTAATGGTAACAGCTCCCATTTTTCTTTTCTTTCTTTCTCTAGCTGCCATGTGCACCCAGCACGACGTCTCTGAGGACAGAATGGGGTTGCTATCATCATCTCACCACTTTACAGATGAAACCTGCCTGGCCACAAAACAAACAGTAGAAATAAAAATTTAATCCCACGACTGCCTGCCTCCAAGTCCCCAAGGCTTAAGTGCTCTCCCACCAAGTCTTCAGCTCCTTGACAAAGCCAGGGCAAGGCTTTTCTTGAGAATGGGTTTGACTCTCTTCCCAGAAGTTACAAACACCATCAAGGCAGGGATCTCTCTTATGCAAAGTCCGCCCAGCACTTGAATGGCTCCTGCCTGCCCACAGCAACCAAACAAAACGGTGCTTCCTCTTTCGCTAGGTGGTGGTCGGACCTGCCTACTTCAGTCCTGAAATAACTGGGTCTTCTTCCAAACTCAATCCCAGCCTGCCTGGCCATTTCACAGGCCCCCCAGGCCAGCAGCTGGGTCTGACCACGTCACAGAAACTTCCTGGGGCCGACACCTCTCCGAGCCATAAGTAACCAGGGTCCAGAGAAGCAGTGTCAGGGAGAAGCTCCAGGGACCCGTCCCCTGCTCGTTCTCGGAGCAGCCCCAAGCACAGAGAATGGCCAACCCAGGCGCCAAGTGCCGAGACACTGGTTGGTAGGACTCAGGGTGCCAAGAGAAACACCACTGCCACATATTTGCTTGGTAAAAGCAGCACTTCCTCTCAAACCTGCTGCAGGGTCAGAGGCATTAAGAAAACAGCTGAGCCCGCCGGCTGCGAGTGAAGGCTTCCTCCCCGGAGTGACTCCTTCAGAAGCCGAATCTCTCACACCAGCTGCCAGCCAACGCTGGGGGTCAGGGCTCTGGCACTGGCACAGCGAGGCTGGGGAAGCCGTCATCTGGGGAAAGTAATTCAATCACTCAGCAGTGTAAATGCTAGGCCAAGTCCTTCCCAGGGGACGCGAGGCCACTACAGCCAGAAAGAAGAGGCACTGAGACCAGACGCAGAACACACACCCTACACCGAACTCCAAGACAGAAGAGGTGGCTCGGCCCTCGAGGGGCGCTGAGTATAAACCCAGACCTCTCCAGAGGCCCTGGGAACAATAAAAGTAGGGCTAGGCAGAGTAAAGGAGGCTGGAGGAAGACAGAATACAAATGTTACTACCTTGGCTCTCCCAAGAACCCCAAGGGGTAAGTATCACTACCATCCTCAACCTAAAAGTAAAGCTGCCCCGGCGAGGCTGAGGTAGGAGGATCACAAATTTGAGTCCCTGCCTGGGCAACTTGGCAAGACACACTGCCTCAAAATTTAAAAAATAAAAAGGGCTGGGATGTAGCAGTGCAAAGGCCCTGGGTTGAATCCCCTATACAAGAAAAAAACTAAACACACTGCTTTGCTTGCTGAGGCAAGACCCATCAATGACCCACTCAATGACTTCCTTCCTCCAGGCTAGACCTACAGTGCAGCTCCCTGCCCTCCAGTCCTGGCCACACCGGAACCCTTCTCTGCTCCTTCGTACCTTCCTACCCTCCCCAAATCTGGTTTAAGCCACACCTCACTCTCTGTTCCTGTGTCCTGAAGAAACACACAACACACAATACACATTTCTGGAGGTGGCTCTAGGAACTGAACCCAGGGCTCTGACGCTGAGCTTCAGCCCCAGCCCTTATTTTTATTCAGAGACAGGGACTCACTAAGTGGCCAAGTTGCCCAGGCTGGTCTTAAATTGGTAATTCTCCCACCTCAGCCTCCTCAAGGGCTAGAATTACAGGTGTGGCCACCACACCCCACTGCAATGCACATTTCTGAAGCCCAGACCACTTGCCAGTCCACAGAGGAGCTTGGGAGCAGAGGTGCTCCTGGGCTTCCCCCCACCATCCCGAAGGTCATCAGGCTGCATTCAGAGACATCTGAGGACCGGGCAGGGCAGGTCAGTAGTCCCCCACAACCAGAATCATCAGCACCAGTGCCACTGGTGTAGAGACTGAGAAACTCCATCTGGGGCCCAGGTGAGCTCCCTCTTGCTTCTCTTACTAGCTCTTCATGAACTTGCCCACTTCCCCTCAGCTGACACTCAGGAAATGGCAAACTGGCTTTGGTGTGCAATCATCTTTATCTCCTTCCTCAGGCTCTCAGAAACAAAAGGTGCCTTCCTCCTTGTGAGGCTGTCACCCTTTCCTGCTCTGGCTCTGATCACCAGCAGGACCTGGAGTCTCTCTGCTGGGGACTGAACACAGACCTAGAAGTGGGGAGGGGCAGTTCTCCTCTACTAAACCCAGCTTCTTCCTTTCACAGGTAAGCACCATATTTTTTAAAACACCATATGCCCGCCACACACCTTCCTCACAGATTTATTCTGCCTGACTTCCACCAGACAAATTACATTTCAAGTCGTTGCCAACTTTTTTAAACCCTGAGAGATCTGACACAAAAATGGAGGTTCCAAGTCTCCCTGAAAAACAGAACATCCAGGAACTTTGGGACACTGCCCCACAAACCAGGAGATGAGAAGCCCTCTGCTTGGCAGCCCGGATTCCGGGCCCTGCTTCTCCTGTTCCCTATTGGGTCCGCTGCTACTCGTGTCCTACCCAATCCACCCACCAACTCCAGTCTGAGCCTTCTGAGCTCCACTGCTTCATAAACAGTCGCTGATTACCCTGTCCCCACTGAACTCAGCTCTCACTAACAGCCTTTTAGTTACCAAATTCAAACTACCCCCTTCTATAGTCCACTCCGTTTTTATGCAATAAAACTAACAGCTATTTCCCTTCTTTGGCACACCCTCCCCAACCTTCCTCCTGCCTGTTTCTGCTCCACTTTAGGGTGCTCTTCCCACCCACCTCTTTAATGGTGGGCCCCCCCAAGCTCCATCTCCAAAGCCCAGTTCTTCACACGCTTGGCGCCCCTAGGCGAGCTCTCTGCCAATAAATCAAGACCCCCACTCCACACCTCCAGCTCCTCCGGTGCCCGGAACCCACAACCTGCCTGTGGATCACCTCTCCGCACCTGTGCTGCAAGCTCTTCAAACACAATTCAGTGGTGTTTCCCAGAGCTGCTGCTCCACACAGGCAGTA